GCTCAGTGGTAGAGCCCCTGCCTAGAATCCCCCAGTGAGGGGCTGGGGTGTGGCTCAGGGGTAGAGCCCCTGCCTAGAAGCCCCCAGTGAGGGGCTGGGTGTGGCTCAGTGGTAGAGCCCCTGCCTAGCAGGTTGGAGGCCCTAAATTCAGTCTCCAGCTCCACTGAAAAAAATAACAAAATGTGTTTTAAGATAAAGGCAATCATTGGCAGGCTTCATGTGGTGGAAAAAGGAAATAGATTGAAAATACATTTTATTAGTTCTTAACCAACAGGAACCTTCAAATTGTGCCTAGTATTTGGGGATGTGACTGTCTGTGCTGTGCTGCTATAACAAACAGAGCCAACTACACGTGGTGGAAAGGGTTCTGAGGCTTGTTGTTTTCTGGGTGGCCTGAAGTGAGCGGCCCTGGCCAGGAAGACTCCAACAAGGCATGCAGTGAATTTCTTTCTGTCCTGTGTTCTGGGGCCTGTGGCTTTCTAGCTTGTAGGAGTTGGGGAGGGAATAGGAAAACCAGGATGCAATTCCTTCCTTCCTTCCTTTCTTCCTTTCTTCCTTCCTTCCTTCCTTCTTCCTTTCTTCTTCTTCTTCTCCTTCTTCTTCTAACAGATCTTGCCTCAGGTTTATTTGTAAAAACAGCACAGGACTCTGGTCATCTGTAAATAGTGTGTAGGTGGTTGTGTCACACCAGTTCGTCTGTCTTCACATTAGCAGAAGCCTTTCCTACAGGGCCTTCACAGGGGCCTGGGCACCTTTGGGAGCCTGAGCTGGAGCTGAAGCCTTGTCCTTAGCTGGAGCTGTGGCCTCTGCCTTGGTTTGAACCTTGGGCTTTGGTTGGCAGAGCCTACGACCCTTGGACGTATATGCAGCTTCAAATCCGCTTCCCAAGCGTGGGGTGAGCGATGAAAGCCAGACAGATGGGTTTGTGGCTGGGCCCGTTGGTATCTTGGGCTTATCTTGGCTGCAGGCTTCACAGGGGCTTTGATGGCGTCTGCTCGCGCACACACCGCCTTTTCGTTCTTTGCCTGCATCTTCTTCAGCTCTTTCTTGTTGTGCTTCTTGGCAAAGTGCATGTTCCTCAGGAACTTGGGGTCCACCCCTTAGGAGATTCTTCGTGACTGGGGTTTCTTGATGCCATGTCTGTGCCATTTGTGGGACTGGTTGTGTGTGGTGTGGTTCTTGGACTTGGCCATGACTGCATAGTAACCCGCAGCTCCCGCAGCATCTGGGACCCTTATTATTATTTCTTCTTCTTCTTCTTCTTCTTCTTCTTCTTCTTCTTCTTCTTCTT